CACTGTGCCTAGCTAAACTACATATTTTACACTACCAAAAAAAGGCAACATGGGTCACAAAGTCCACATTGACAGTCAGCACTCTCTAGTGGCTCAATAGAAGTGGGGAGAGTCTGGGAAGCTGCCATTGTTCAAGCTGCGCATCCGAGGCTGGTCACCCCAAAACACTGAAATGCTAATAAATGACTATGGCAAAAAACCCAAGTGACCTCTGGTAGTGCAGCTCCTGTGACCCCCTTGGAGGTGGAGCTCTGTTGGCGGATGGACAGTCCGTACAGTAGGTGTGTTTGTGTGAAGGATTGGCCTGCTGGGGTTACTCAGAAACTGCTCTGCAAACACAGAGGATTAAAGGGGTTTTTGTTGAGGCAGAACAGATGGACAGAGAGAGGCAGAGTTCACATTAGTGGGTCGTAAATCAGGACTCGCTTGCAGAAGGGAAAAATCTGAGTCTGGTCACTTAAAAATCAGAGCTAATTTTAATTTTTATCTTTTTCTTATTAGGAAAGCAACCTTATGCTTAATGGAGAAACAATTCATGTGAAGAATTTACAAAATTCAAAATATCTATGACAGAGAAAGCCCTGCCGATCCTTTCAGTAGAATCTCCCTGATTTTGTCGTCTGTCCTGCTAACATACACACGTGTACATAGGCGATTATTATTTAATAAGAATGGAAACATATGCTCTTCTTTGAGTTAAAGAGGGAACCTGTAAGGAGAGCGTGAAGATCGGACCCCAGGCGTGATTGTTAGGGCCAGAGCAGCGGCATAAATTTTAGTAATCAAACCAAAGACAATGTGTAAATTTATGTTTGGGAAAGTTGGGGCAAGCTCAGGTGAAGGAAAAGTTCATCGGCGCTGAGGGCCATGTTGAATTTATGATCTTTCTGAGCTCCCAGAAAAACGACACGTCTGTGGCTGTTTCTCCTTCTGCCCCCTAGTGGAGCAAGCAGAGTGGTTCAGGCCATGAAAGCGTTCTGCCGATTAGACCCTCTCTTTACTCATTTCTCTCTCTTTTTTTTTTGAGGCAGGATCTTGTTCTGTTGCCCAGGCTGCAGTGCACTGGCACAATCTCCGCTCACAGCAGCCTCAGTCTCCTGGGTTCAAGCGATCCTCCCACCTCAGCCTCCCGAGTAGCTGGGAGTACAGGTGCACACCACCACACCTGGCTAATTTTCTGTATTTGTTGTAGAGACAGGGTCTTGCCATGTTGGCCAGGCTGGTCTTGAACTAATAGGCTCAAGCGGTCTACCTATCTCAGCCTCCCAAAGTGCTGAGATTACAGTTGTGAGCCACCGCATCAGGCCTCTTTACCTATTTCTAATCATTTAATTGGATGTTCTCCAGTCTCTGTAAATATATTGACCAAAGCCCAAAATGTTATAAAACGAGGCCAGTGGGTCTCTCTCTAGCATGCCAGGGCTCCAGTTACTGGATTGAGTTTAACGTCATATTTTATGAAAATGAGGTACCATTAGAAGCTAGGTGCTCACTTAGTAGGGTGAGATGCTCACACCAGGAGAGTCCAGAAGTCTCACCGACAGTAGAGGGCTGGTTTCACTCACTGCCATTAGCTGAGTGCTTTCTAGAAGTCAGCAGTGTTTGTATCAGACCTTTTGATGTCAGTTCTTACTGTTTCATGACAGAATTTAACGACATATAAAAATTAGTTAAAATTGCTGGGTGTAGTGGCTTACCCAAAGTGTAATCAAAGCACTTTGGGATGCCGAAGCCTCTTGAAATCGGGAGTTCAAGACCAGCCTGGCCAATACGGTGAAACCTAATCTCTACTAAAAATAAAAAATTAGCCAAGTGTGGTGGCACGTGCCTGTAATCCTAGCTATTCAGGAGGCTGAGGAATGAGAATCGCTTGAATCCAGGAGGCAGAGGTTGCTGTGAGCTGAGATCATGACAGTGCACTCCAGCCTGGGTGACAAAGTGAGATTCCATCTAAAAAAAAAAAATCGGTTAAAATGAAACCTTATGGAACCAATTAAAGAGAGTTGTTTCAATAAAATTGGAATGCTCTGAATTCCAATTTCAAAAAAACTGGAATGCTCTGAAAAATCTCAGTGTTAGTGAAGTACTTAAAAAATAAATGGTATTTTTAAAATATAAAATATTGTGACTCTGTAAAAACCTAGAGTTGTGCACTTATGATTATTTTATGTCTTTAAGTTCTTTTTTTTTGAGATGGAGTTTTGCTCTTGTTGCACAGTCTGGAGTGCAATGGTGAGATCTTGGCTCACTGCAACCTCCACATCCCGGGTTCAAGAGATTCTCCTGCCTCAGTAACTGGGATTACAGGCACCTGCTACCACGCCTGGCTAATTTTTTTATTTTTAGTAGAGATGGGGTTTCACTATGTTGGCCAGGCTAGTCTCAAACTTCTGACTTCAGGTGATTCGCCCGCCTTGGCCTCCCAAAGTGCTGGGATTACAGTCGTGAGCTACCTCGCCCAGGCCTTGGTGTCTTAGTTCTTCATAAAGCCAAAAAAATGAAAGCTGGAAATCCTGGTTACTGCATGCTGGGTATTTGCTGAATATTCAAACGAAAACACCAAGGGAATACCAGATTCACGATTCCCATTTCACTCTTACTCTGGCGTCTGCTTATTGAAGGAGATGATGGATCCTTATAATTATTATTGTTATTATTATTGTTATTATTAGTTTTGAGATGGACTCTTGCTTTGTCACCAGGCTGGAGTGCAGTGGTGCAATCTCAGCTCACTGCAACCCCTGCCTCCCAGGTTCAAGTGATTCTCCTGCCTCAGCCTCCCAAGTAGCTGGGACTATAGGCACATGCCACCACACTTGACTAATTTTTGTATTTTTAATAGAGACGGGGTTTCACCATGTTGGCCAGGATGGTCTCTATCTCTTGACCTTGTGATCCGCCTGCCCTGCTCTCCCAAAGTGCTGGAATTATAGGCATGAGCCACTGCACCTGGCTCTATGATAATAATTAATATTTTTGAGATGGTTGTGTGCTCTTTTTGCCTAGTCTGGAGTGCAATGGCCCGATCTCGGCTCACTGCAACCTCTTCCTCCTGAGTTCAAGTGATTCTCCTGCCTCAGCCTCCCATGTAGCTGGGATTACAGGCATGTGCCACCATGCCCAGCTAATTTTGTATTTTTAGTAGAGACAGGGTTTCTCCATGTTGGTCAGGCTGGTCTTGAACTCCCAACCTCAGATGATCCACCTGCCTCCCAAAGTGCTGGGATTACATGTGTGAGCCATGCTTGGCCTTATAATTATTTTTTATTTCTCTCTTAGCTGAACATTTGTAAGTTACGTGGGCTTGTTAATAAGATACAGTATCACAAAGATTTTGTGGTGTTGCTCCCTGTATGTGAATTTTACCTATCACCAGAATAAATTCTCTCTTCTTCTCTGGGCTCACTCACCGCGTGCGGGGCCACCTGGCCCCACCTGGCCCCTTCCTCCTTCATGTCTCGCTGTTCCCTGCTTTCCTGATGCTCAGGTCTTGCCGAAGGAGTTCTAGCCTTTGGCCGTGTATGTGCTGTTAGCTGTTCACTTGTCCCACTTTCTTGCTTCCCAGGCTGCCTTTCATCTGTTAATGGTAACACAGTGTGCTTCATCTGTCTAATGCTGGCCTCAACTCTCCCACAGAGTGTTTGCTGACAGCCACCCCTCTGATTCTCCAACCCCCTTCATCCATTATTATTATTATTATTATTACTATTGAGACAGAGTCTCACTCTGTAGCCCAGGCTGGAGTGCAGTGGCGCAGTCTTGCTCACTGCAGCCTTCACCCCCCGGGTCCCGGTTCAAGCAGTTCTCTTCTTGCCTCAGCCTCCTGATTATCTGGGATTACAGGCATATACCAACATGCCCAGCTAATTTTTGTATTTTTAGTAGAGACAGGGTTTCACCATGTTGGCCAGGCTGGTCTCGAACTCCTGACCTTGTGATCTGCCCGCCTCGGCCTCCCACGGTGCTGGGATTACAGATGTGAGCCACTGTGCCTACCCCAGTCATGTTTTTTGGGTTGAACTGAACTCACTGATTTTTTTTTTTTTTTGAGACTTAGTCTTGTTCTGTTGCCTAGGCTGGAGTGCAGTGACCTGATTTCAGTTCACTGAAACCTCTGCCTCTTGGTTCAGGTGATTCTCCTGCCTCAGCCTCTTGAGTAGCTGAGATTACAGGTGCCTGCCACCATGGCTGGCTAATTATTTTTAGTAGAGGCAGGGTTTCACCATGTCGGTCAGGCTGGTCTCCAACTCCTGACCTTGTGATCCGCCCGTTTTGGCCTCCCAAAGTGCTGGGATTACAGGCGTGAGCCACTGCACCTGGCACTCGCTGTTTTTATTCTGTACTCTGGAGTGGGATGCAGGTGTGAATCCCAGCACTGGCCTGTTCTAACCCTGGGTTGTTAGGGGAAGGTGGAACATCCTGAGTCTCCTTTCCTAGTCTGGAAGCTAGAGATGGGAATACTTTCTTCTGAGGGCTCTTGTGAGGTTTAAATGAAGCCATCAAAATCTGTGTAGTGCTGAGCACAGCATTAGCATTTAATGTTAGCTTTTACTGTTTATATCTAGATTAACAACTAGCAAAAATTATATAGTCTGATTATAATCATATAAATCAAAGCATATAGCAATTGTAAATTAAAAATAAACCAGTCATTTGGAATTTGTCAGCTTCTTTCTTTCTGGTGGTGTTGAAAATTAAGACTTTTTCCTTCCAGTACTTTCCATCTAAGTCACTGTTAAGGTAAATGATCTTTCACGAAGGGCACAGTTATTCCAGTGCCCTGTGAAGTGGACATTGACTTCTGGAGTGGGCTCCGGAGCAGATGAGCCCTTTCCTGGAGGGGCAGGAGATAATGGTGCTGGGGTTGGCGGCTGCCGTGGGTGGGAGCACGTAATTCTGGGCGTATGGCATTGTTGGCTTTGCAGGCTGGACCCTCTGTAAAGACAGGTTGAATTGAATGAATTAAGATGGTGATGTATCTTAAACCTGTTGCTTTGCAGGCACGGTAAAGGTGAAGAGTTCCAACATCCAAGTTGGAGACCTTATTATCGTTGAAAAGGTGAGCAGGATCTGGAAGCTTGCGTGTGAATGCTGCTTCAGGTATCCTAATGTGTAATTTGTGTATCTGGTAGACAAATTGAATGATGCATTTTGGGATTCTGTCCAACAACTCTGCCTGGGGAGAAAATCTCTTGCGCGCGCACGCGTGTGTGTGTGTGTGTGTGTGTGAGAGAGAGAGAGAGAGAGAGAAAGAGAGACACACACACACACACACACACACATTCTTTAAGGTTTATATGGGTTGGTTAGCCAGGAATCCGGCTTATAAACACAAGTACAAGTTTCAATTCGGTTCGATGTGCTTATTATTTTGAAATAAAAAATACCATAAAATCTTTCCTAGAAGTCAGCTTACTACATAGACACTTAGAATATTTACCTCATTTACCTTTTGAGCCATGTCCTGACCTAACCATTGTGCTTGTCTATTATTTTATGGGGAGCAGGGATTAACTGTAACCTGAGAACAGTAAAAAGACCCAAAATACAGTTTAAAAAACAGCCATGTCTGTGTGTTTGTTATGTTAGTAAACACTCATGTCTTTTTCTAGTGTGTATATTTGGAAGGTATTGGATTTTCAGGGGTGGCTCTGGAGAGGCTTGGAATAATATTTGATTAGAAAAGTGTTGTGTCTTAACTTGTTTCTCTAGAAATTGAACTATGCTCTTTTAAAAGGATTAAATCCAAGAACTCAAAGCTACTTTGAGGTAAAGTGAAACTCTTGCAGGTGGCAGCCCAGCAGAACCACACAAACCCTATGTTATCACGTACTTTTCTGTTCATAATTAAATGGGGTCTGCTGGCTGCCCCCCTCCCCCTTTTTTTCAGAATGGCTTTTGTTGCTTCCTACTACTCTCCTTCCTTATTAAAATCCACTAAAAGCCAAACATCAAGCTGGGAAGTTGGTAGATACAGAAAGCGTGAGTGGAGGGTCTGGCTTGAGTCTCAGCAGACCGCCTGGAAGAGAGCCAGCTGGGGAGGCAGTCTTTCGGGATTTCAGGAGGTAATGGTTGAATTCACCAGAAAACTAGAAGCTCTCTTTCCAAGATAAGATTTTGATAGGGGATTAGTAAAGTAGCAGCAGTGTGCAAGATTCTGCAGATTCAAAACAACGTAAATCCCCAAATCTGTCTTTGACAAAGGTAGAAGCTTAAAAGAGGTTGTGAGTTTCATCCCCCACCTCCAAACCCACCGAGGGGTTGGGGGTGGGGGCGGAAACTCCTACCCCCACCCCCGCCACACGGGCATTCATTCACAGTAAGTCTTTCTTTTCATAACACAGAACCAGCGGGTCCCTGCCGACATGATCTTCCTGAGGACATCAGAAAAAAACGGTAAACATCTGAGATCAATTTGGAAAATAACCATTAACCTTTCAGTGGTAATTTGGCAAAATCATTTGAAAATGTCACAAAGTAGATTATCATTTTGGACCCACGGAGGCAAATCAAAAGCATCTTGTTCAATAGACCATTCTTTTTAAACAGTGTTGTTGGTCTTTAAAAGTCAATAGATTTTGATCATTAAAAAAATACAGTTTGTGGAGCACTGGCTGCAGCTGGTGAAGTCACGCATGCAGTGGCCTTGGTTTTCCTCCCTGGGCTGTGTTAAGCTCCGCTTCAGGAGTTGGGATGAGGAAGTGTTTCTAACATGTAGAAGTAAACAGAAATCCCCTCTCTTCTAAGCTGATACCAGGAGACATGTCTTGAGTGAGGGCAGTACAGAAAGTGGGGAGGAGTGGGCATCTTTTCTGCCCATCGTTCATGAGTCGGGGGACCTTGCCATAGGACCTATTGATTTATTTATTGTAGCCTGAGTTTTCGGGGTGAGAATCTCTGAAGTCTCTTACTTTATAGTTATTTCCTTGGGTGGCAGCTACCATTGCCTGCCCACCCCATCAGTCTACTAAAATTGCCTTAGGTTTTTTTTTTGAGATGGAGTTTCGATATTGTTACCCAGACTGGAGAGCAATGGCACGATCTCGGTTCACCGCAACCTCTGCCTTCTGGGTTCAGGCAGTTCTCCTGCCTCAGCCTCCGGAGCAGCTGGGACTACAGGTGCGCACCACCATGCCCAGCTAATTTTTGTATTTTTAGTAGAGACAGGGTTTCACCTCGTTGACCAGGATGGTCTCCATCTCTTGACCTCATGATCCACCCGCCTCAGCCTCCCAAAGTGCTGGAATTATAGGTGTGAGCCACCACGCCCAGCCTTTTTTTTTTTTTTTTTTGAGACAGGGTCTTGCTCTGTCACCCAGGCTAGAGTGCAACGGTGCAATCTCTGCTTACTGCAACCTCCACTTCCTGGGTTCGAGCCATTCTCCTGCCTCAGCCTCCTGTGTTCTACCATGTCTGGCTAATTTTTATATTTTTAGTAGAGATGGGGTTGTACCGTGTTGGCCAGGCTGGTCTCGAACTCCTGACCTCCGGTGATCAGCCTGCCTCAGCCTCCCAAAGTGCTGGGCTTACAGGCATGAGCCACTGTGCCTCGCCTGAATAGCCTTAGTTTTAATTTTTGTTATTAAAGCTGTTCTGAGGAATCAAGGCTGTTTTTCTCTTATCTGGCATAATTGGAGGTGTCTGAACACCTGAAAAATTTACATTCATATGCCTTTGAGGACACTGCGACACGTTTCATTGTGAATGGAATTAAAGTAAAATTTTATACTAATGAGTAACAATACAGGAGGTAAAAGGCACTAATTAAAACAGTCTTTGAAAAACTGCAGCTTTGTCTCGAAATTCATTCTAGTGTCCTATTTAGTGCAAGCAGAGCATTACGGAGTAGGGCCCCGGCATGCTCTTTTTTCTTTAAAAAAAAAAAAAAAAAAAAAAAGACCCCACTAAATTATGAGTGCGCTACATAAATAGTTCTGAGAGTCTGAACTGCAGTGTCAGTGAATCGGGCACGTTCTGTCTGATGGAGGATATAGCTGACGACTTGCATGGATCTGTATGTGAGACTGAAAGATACGCTTCGGAAATATGCCAGCCCATAATGAACTGGTGCTGGCCTGGACTGATCGGCACTGTTCTGAGCTCTGCACAGATCAGTTCTTTAATCCTCACGACGCCTCTGCAGGGTCAGTGCTGTTCCTAGCTCCACTTTACACATGAGGAAACTGAGGTGTAGAGAGGATAGGCAGCTATCAGGGCACAAAGCTAGTATGTGGCAGAGCCTGGACCTGCACTCACGTGGTTTGAGTCCTGCGAAGGTGCTGGCGATGCCTGGCCAGACGGCTCGGAATGCTGGTGTGCTGGCCACTGTTCTGTCTCCCCACTGAATCCTTATAGCAAGTTTGCAAGGTCTGTGTTTCTCCACATTTCACAGACACTGAAGTTTAACAGGAACAAGAAACTAGCCTGGGATTGCAGTGGCGGAGTGAGGATTTGAACTCGGATCTTTCTGACCCCAGAACTGATTATGGAGAAGTGGGAAATAGGATATTAATTTCCCTTGTGGTTGCTGGCCATTGGTTGGCTGTTTTTACAAGGACCAGAGCAGCCGCTGCCCAGAGCTGCTAGGGGAAGGGTCCTTGGGGTGAAGGTGACAGTGCCCAACTTCCTTCCACAGGGTCATGCTTCTTGCGGACGGATCAGCTAGATGGGGAGACAGACTGGAAGCTGCGCCTCCCTGTGGCCTGCACACAGAGGCTCCCCACAGCTGCTGTGAGTAGCTTTCCCTGCAGAAGCCCATGCAGGCAACCCGTGTTAGGAGGGTTCTCAAACTCAGATATCCCTGGGGGCCAGGCATGGGGTATCAGCTGTGAAGTGGGGCTGCTGAGGGAGCGTGGGGTTCTGGAGAGCCTCTGGGACTTGGTGGCTTCCACAGATGTGGCCAGGCCAAAGGCAGACCCCAAGTGTGGGGAGTGAGCTCTCTAATGGGAAGCTGAAAACCTAAGAAACCATGCCAAGGTGCCTCACCAGAATTTAAAAGCTAAGCCAGAGCGTGTCAGTCATCTGCACTAAACCTGTGAAGGGGCTGAGCGTGGTGACATACGCCTGTAATCCTAGCACTTTGGAGGCTGAGGTGGGTGGATTACGAGGTCAAGAGATGGCGACCATCCTGGCCAACATGGTGAAACCCCATCTCTACTAAAAATATAAAAATTAGCTGGACATAGTGGCGCGCATCTGTAGTCCCAGGTACTCTGGAGGCTGAGGCAGGAGAGTTGCTTGAACCTAGGAGGTGCAGGTTGCAGTGAGCCGAGATGGCCCCACTGCGCTTCAGCCTGGGTGGCAAAGTGAGACTCTGTCTCAAAAACAAAACCAAAACCAAAAAACCTACAACGGTAGGCCAGGCTCAGTGGCAGGCACCTGTAGTCCCAGCTCCTCAAGAGGCTGAGTCAGGAGGATTGCTTAAGCCCGGGAGTTGGAGGCTGCAGTGGGCTATGGTTGTGCCTGTGAATAGCAACTGCACTCCAGCCTGGGCAACATAGTGACACCTGTGTCTAACAAAAGTAATAACAACAAAATAAAAAACAACCCTCCAAAGATTTCTGGGAATCCATTCTGTGGTGCTTGCTGTCATCTTCTGCCCCTTCCCGTTTCTCTCTCTGCTGGGAATCCGACCTCAGTGCTGGGCCCATTCTCCCCTGTCCGCCAGCCTCTCAGTGACTGTGTTTCTGCCTCTGGATGTTGGCTGTTGCCATTTCCTCCACCAGGAGCCCTCTGACCCCTGGTGAGTCTGCCTGGCGGGGCATCTCCACACTCCACTGAGCTTTTGCACATGAGTCTCCTTATTGGAGAGGCTCTTTCTGCAAACCTCTCCCTGCATTTCTGCTTTGCTCACTTCCAGGCAGTGTCCCTGCAGGTGGGCTCTGCCTGTTGTATTCTCTGCCGTACCCCAGTATGTATGACGGGGCGAAGCCCAGGCTCAGAGGAGGGCCACAGTAGTTGGCTGAGTGTAGCTTAAGTGCCCAGTGACTGGCAGGCCCCACTGAGGTCTGGAAGGATGAAGTGCGACACAGAAGCTTCCCTGTGCTCACACCACATGGATCCAAGCCACTCCTTACTGTGTCGCCTGAGAAAGGAGGAAACTTCCGTGTCTTGGCGAGATAGACGTAACAGGACATGCAGCCACCCTATGGGCAATTTATCATGGCTAATAAAAAGTGAAATAGCACCATTATTACTGTTAATTTTAAACCAGGAATTAATTAATTACTTCATGTATTTATTTATTTGATGGCATCTTGCACTTGTCACTCAGGCTGGAGTGCAGTCGCATGATCACTGCAACCTCTGCCTTCCAGGTTCAGGTGATTCTCCTGCCTCAGCCTCCCCAGTAGCTGGGATTACAGGCACTGCCACCATGCCCAGCTAATGTATTTTTAGTAGAGATGAGGTTTCACCATGTTTGCCAGGCTGGTCTCGAACTCCTGACCACAAGTGATCCACGTGGCTCTGCCTCCTGAAGTACTGAGATTACAGGCGTGAGCCACCGCACCCAGCCTAAACCAGGAATTTTAGAACAGTGAGTTTCTTACTCCCAGCTAGGAGCCCCTGGGACCTCATAGCAGGCACCGTCATGCCTGTGAGATGGAGCCAATCTGACGACAGCATTCTGATTCTCGAAACAGTTTAAAAGACCTGTTCTCGAGAGAGGTGAGAGGGGCAGGTAGTAAAGGTGCTGCCTCGCAGGGTTGCGTTTCTTGGTATGTGACTTAGATGCATGACACGATTTAATGAAAGCTCATTTTGCCTCTCGTTGGGTCCAGGCTTGGGCTGGGTTCAGAGAAAGATGAGATCCCACCTTCTTTGTTGTCAAGGAACTCTCAATCTTAGTGAGATTATTGGGGGGTGGTCTCTATGGGGAGCAGCATTTTTTTTTTTTTTTTGGGACGGAGTCTCGCTCTGTTGCCAGGCTGGAGTGTAGTGGCGTGATCTTGGCTCACTGCAACCTCTACCTCCTGGGTTCAAGAGATTCTCCTGCAATAGTCTCCTGAGTAGCTGGGACTACAGGTGCACACCACTACATCCAGCTAATTTTTAAATTTTTATTAGAGATGAAGTTTCACCATGTTGGTCAGGATGGCCTCAATCTTTTGACCTCATGATCTGCCCACCTCAGCCTCCCAAAGTGCTGGTGGGATTACAGACAGGCGTGAGCCACCGTGCCTGGCTGGGGAACAGCATTTTAACACAGTTTTTGATGATAAGATTTATAGGAGCTGGGCGCAGTGGCTCACACATGTTATCTCAGCATTTTGGAAGGCCAAGGCAGGCAGGTTACTTACCTGGGCAACATGGTGAAACCCCGTCTTTACAAAAAAATACAAAAAGTAGCCAGGCCTGGTTGCACGTGCCTGTAGTCCCAGCTACTTGGGCGGCTGAGGTGGGAGGATGGCTTGGGGCCGGGGGCAGAGGTTTCAGTGAGCTGAGATCTTCCCACTGTACTCCATCCTGGGCAACAGTAAGACCCTGTCTCCAAAAAAAAACAAAAAAAGCTTTATATGAAATGATGACCTGATTAATATATGAATGGATGTATTTTTGTTAAAAACAATTCAACTGTATGGAAAGCTACGGAAGAAAAGTGAGAAGTCCTGCCGCAGCCTTTACCTCAGATCCTCTTCCCAGAAGGAATCGGGGGTCATGTGAGGTTGATAGTGGTCTTTCCAGATCTTTCTCAATGCACTTACTTATAAATATGCAGAATCAGACTAGTTTGTGGCGTGTGGCTTTACATAAATGCCGTAAGACTGTATCTATTCATTTTTCTGCAGTTTTTTTCACCCTCCCTCTCTTTTTTTTTGAGATGGAATCTCATTCTGTCGCCCAGGCTGGAGTGCAATGGTGCGATCTTGGCTCATTGCAACCTCCGCCTCCCGGGTTCAAGCAATTCTTCTGCCTCAGCTTCCCAAGTAGCTGGGATTAAAGGTGCTGCCACCACAGCTGGCTAATTTTTGTATTTTCAGTACAGACAGGATTTCACCATGTTGGCCAGGCTGGTCTCGAACTCCTGACCTCAAGTGATCCATTCATCTCGGCCTCCCAAGGTGCTAGAATTACAGGCGTGAGCCACTACTTCTGGTCTTAGAGTGTAGTTTCATTTTCTTTTGCATCTGCACAGTATTCCAAGACATGTGGTTATCACAGTATATCCATTTCCCGTTCTTTAATATTTCTGGGCATTTTTTGGTCTATCTAGCACTTTATAATCAGGTATCTTGGTTATAAGCAAGATTTATCTAGTAAGGCAATTCCTGCTTCCCTGTTTTTTCTAGAAATGACTCCAACTTCCCTTTAAAAGGTCAGGTAAATGCAAGGTACAAAGAAACCTGTAAATGACTAGGTTGGGGACATGCCACAACAGGCTGTTGGCAGGAGCTGCAGATTTGAGACCAGATACACCAGACATCTGCTTCTAGCTCATCCAGCTGCTTCAGGCCTGGCCGGCTTCTCCTGCAGGAGTCATGGGCCTGCCTGGGCCGTGTTGCCAGGATTGGCAGCACAGTTTTCAAAGAATTTTGTTAAAACGATGAGGAAATAAGAAGAATCTGGAAAAGGAATTGAGGAGAAGAAACAGCTCCAGTAACCAGGTGCAGGGGCAGAACTGGCTGCAGTGACAGCAGCAGCGGCCTCAGGGCGCTCTGGTAAAACACACATCCTGCCATAGCTGTTGCCAACCCGAGGACAGCTGTGTCCCTCCATGCGGCAGGTGTGGAAACTGGGCCCCATAGTGACTCTGCACTGCCCCGCTAAAATGTAGTGGCGGTGTGGCCGTTTAGCAGGCCAGAGACAGCCTAGAGGGGTCATTCGTTTCTCCAGATTCACACGCCTGGTACATGAGGGCTGGGGTTTGCTCTTAGCTCTGTGTGTGCAAAGCCTCATTTTTGGCCAGCAGGCAGTTGGCTGAGTATGGGAACTCAAGAGCCCCTATAGCAGATTCCGTTGCTATTAAAAGAAAAGTAATTGAGAAAAAGCCAACTCTAGAATAGAGCCTCCTGTCCCCACGCCATGTCTATGTGTGAGTGCGGGAGTGGGTGTGTATATGATGTAATGATACATTGTTAGCTTGGCCTTTAACTTGCTGTATGATCTGGGCCCTGCCCTGCCATTTCCTCTTGGAAACTGTCTGTGCCAGTGCAGGGATTCCTTCCCTGTCCTGTCCCCGCCCGATGGGGTTTCCTGCTCCTAAACCTTGTTTCCATTTCCACTCTGTGCTTTGGCCTGTCCCTTCCTCCTCCTGGGCTTCCCTTCTGCCCCCTACATTGCCTTTCCTGTTACCCAGTCCCCTTCTGCTTCCTTTATCCTTCATTCTGAAAGCGACTGCTGATCCCCCGACTGTACCTGTCTTGTGCCACTACTCATATGATGCTTTGAAATGTTTTTGCCACGATGGTTCACCTTTAGTCTTTCTTATCACCTAAGATTTGTTTGCCTTTTTTTTTTTTTTGAGACGGAGTTTCATTCTTGTTACCCAGGCTGGAGTGCAATGGCGTGATCTCGGCTCACCGCAACCTCCGCCTCCTGGGTTCAGGCAATTCTCCTGCCTCAGCCTCCTGAGTAGCTGGGATTACAGGCACGCGCCACCATGCCCAGCTAATTTTTTGTATTTTTAGTAGAGACGGGGTTTCACCATGTTGACCAGGGTGGTCTTGATCTCTTGACCTCGTGATCCACCCGCCTCGGCCTCCCAAAGTGCTGGGATTACAGGCGTGAGCCACTACGCCCGGCCTTCTTGTTTGCTTTTTTAAAAAATTGTGCTGGCTGGGCGCAGTGGCTCATGCCTGTAATCCCAGCACTTTAGGAGGCTGAGGTGGGCAGATCACAAGGTCAAGAGTTTCAGACCATCGTGGCCAACATAGTTGGCCATCTCTACTAAAATACAAAAAATTAGCTGGGCATGGTGGCACGAGCCTGTAGTCCCAGATACTCAGGAGGCTGAGGCAGGAGATCACTTGAACCCAGGAGGCAGATGTTGCAGTGAGCTGAGATCACGCCACTGCACTCCAGCCTGGCGACAGAGTGAGACTCTGTCTCAAAAAAAAAAAAAAAAAAATTGTGCTAAGAGACACACAACATAAAATCTATCATTGTAACCATTTTTTTTTGAGGTGGAGTTTTGCTCTTGTTACCCAGGCTGGAGTGCAATGGTGCGATCTCACCATTGTCACCACTTTTAAGTGTACAGTTCAGTGGCATTAAGTACATTGACCTTGTCATGCAGTCATCAGCAGTGTTCATCTTCAGAACTTTTCTCATCTTTCACAACTGGAGCTCTGGACTAATTAAGCAGTAACTTCATTTCCCACCTTGGCCCAGCCCCTGGCAACCATCTTTCTGTTTTCTCACTCTGTGAATTAAACCACCATAAGTTCCTCCTGTAAGTGGAATCACATAGTTTTTGTCTTTTTGTGACTGGTTTATTTTCCTTAGCATAACGTCTTCAAGGTCCGAACTTCCCTTTTTAGGCTGAGTAATATTCCCTCGTCCGTTGAGACCACACTTTGTTTAGCCATTCATCCGCTGATGGTTGGTTGTGTTGCTTCTCCTTCTTGGCTATTGTGAATAATGCTGCTCTGTACATGGGTGGGCAGATGATCACTTAAAGTCCCTGCTTTCATTTCTTTTGTGTATACTCAGAGGTGGCATTGCTGGATTATATGGTAGTTCTGTTTTGATTTTTTGAGGAAGTGCTGTGCTGGTTTCCAGAGCTGCTGCACCATTTTATGTTCCCACCAACAGTGCACAGGGCCTCCAAGTTTGCCACATCTTCACCACACTCGTTTTTTTTTTTTTTTTTTTTTTTGATAGCAGCCATCCTTGTGGGTGTGAGGTGTTCTTACTTGCTTTTTCAGCTCTTCCCAGAGGTTTATACAGAGTGGATGCCCAGTAACCATTCGTTGAATGAGGATTTTCTTTTCTTTTTTTTTTTCCAGACAGAGTCTTGCTCTGTTGCTCAGACTGTAGTGCAGTGGCGTGATCTCAGCTTAGTGCAACCTCTGCTTACCGTATTCAAGTAATTCTCCTACCTCAGCCTCCTGAGCAGCTGCGATTACAGACACGTGCCACCACCCCCAGCTACATTTTTTGTATATTTAGTAGAGACAGGGTTTTAACATGTTGGCCAGGCTGGTCTCAAACTCCTGGCCTCAAGTGATCCACCTACCTCAGCCTCCCAAAGTGCTGGGATTCCAGGCATGAGCCACGATGCCTGGTCTGAAGGAGTATTTTCTTTTTCTTTCTTTTTTTTTTTTTGAGATGGAGCTTCGCTCTTGTTACCCAGGCTGGAGTGCAATGGCATGATCTTGGCTCACCGAAACCTCCGCCTCCTGGGTTCAGGCAATTCTCCTGCCTCAGCCTCCTGAGTAGCTGGGATTACAGGCACGCACCACCATGCCCAGCTAATTTTTTGTATTTTTAGTAGAGACGGGGTTTCACCATGTTGACCAGGATGGTCTCGATCTCTTGACCTCGTGATCCACCCTCCTTGGCCTCCCAAAGTGCTGGGATTACAGGCTTGAGCCACCGTGCCCGGCCCTCTGAAGGAATATTTTAAATGGTACAAACAAGTCTCGAAAGCCAGAATTTAGCAGAGGAGAGTCTGCCCCTTTCGAGGGTTTTAATAGGTGTGTAACATCCCTTGATCAAGTCTGGACAGTGCTGGGTAAAGGGACAGAAATGAGGGTCTTCACTGTAGAGTCTCTAAGGGTGTCTTGAGATACGGTAGGCAGCGACTCATAAACTTACTTAACAGAAACTCTCCTCTCCTCTCCACCTCCCCTGTGATTTTCAGAGCCTGTTTGCTCTGTTGCTTTTGAAAAAAGCAGATACCTCCTGAAGTCTTAAATTGTGAAATTACTTTGCATTGACTCCCAAATGTGACTTCTGTTGAACAGGACCTTCTTCAGATTCGATCGTACGTGTACGCAGAGGAGCCAAATATCGACATTCACAACTTTGTGGGAACCTTTACCCGAGTAAGTCAGCTTATTTCACACGGGATCCTGTCACTGAGAGTGTGTAAGGGATGAAGGCCAAGAAGTATAGACAGTTCTTTGTCAGGAAATAGTTTTATGTCAGGTGGGGACATAAAGAAGGCACCACCTTGAAAGCCAGTGTATTGTTTCTTAGTAAAGGTCGACACAAATGGAATTTTCTTTCAGCCTTGGAAGAGCTTGCATGACCTGAGCCAAGCATTTGCTGTAATCCACATGAACTCTGACGTCTGAAAGCAGTTTTTCTTTCTGTGCCCTTCAGATGGATCTGTGTGTGTGTGTGTTTTTTTTTTTCTGGCGGGGGGAGACAAGAGTCTCCTTCTGTTGCCTGGGCTCGAGTTCAGGGGTGTGATCTTGGCTCATTGCAACCTCCACCTTCTGGGTTCAAGTGATTCTCCTGCCTCAGCTTCCTGAGTAGCTGGGCTTGCAGGCGTGCACCACCATACCTGGCTAATTTTTTGTATTTTTAGTAGAGATGGGGTTTCATCATGTTGGCCAGGCTGGTCTTGAACTCCTGACCTCAGGTGATCCACCTGCCTTGGACTCCCAAAGTGCTAGGATTACAGACGTGAGCCACCGTGCCTGGCTTTGTCCTCTTTTATTCATACAAATCCTGTCTGCCAGTTTCCTAATTTTTAAGCCACTTCGAGACTTCTCAGAAGAGAAATTAGATTTGGATTTAATTTGTTTTTGGAGGCTGGGAGTGGTGGCTCATGCCTGTAATCCCAGTACTTTGGGAGGCTGAGGTGGGCGGATTTCCTGAGATCAGGAGAATTGGTTGAACCTGGGAGGCAGAGGTTGCAGTGGTTGGGAGGCAGAGGTTGCTTGAACCTGGGAGGCAGAGGTTGCAGGTGCAAGATCGCACCTCTGCACTCAGGCCTGGGCAGCAGAGTGAGATTCTGTCTTAAAAAATATATAAAATTTATTTTAGGAATATGGGTCAACACGTTTTTAGAACCCACATTACACTGTCCATGTTCTCTTTCTGTAAGCCACGAACAAAGCTGGCCTGCAAACAGCCTGAGTGGCTTGCTTTTACATTTTGATTCTCACCATGCAAAATATTTTTCAGTGCTAAGAGGCCTGCACCTTTTTTTTTTTTTTTTTGAGACGGAGTTTCGCTCTTGTTACCCAGGCTGGAGTGCAATGGCACGATCTCGGCTCACTGCAACCTCCGCCACCTGGGTTCAGGCAATTCTGCCTCAGCCTCCTGAGTACCTGGGATTATAGGCGTGTACCACCATGCCCAGCTAATTTTTTTTATTTTTAGTAGAGGTGGGGTTTCACCATGTTGACCAGGGTGGTCTCGATCTCTTGACCTCGTGATCCACCTGCCTTGGCCTCCCAAAGTGCTGGGATTACAGGCGTGAGCCACCGCACCCGGCTGAGCCACTGCGCCTGGCTTTTTTTTTTGAGATGAATTCTTGGTCTGGTACCCAGTGTGGACTGCAGTGGCGTGATGTCAGCTCACTGCAACCTCAGCCTCCTGGGTTCAATGCCTCAGCCTCCTGAATAGCTGGGACTACAGGTGTACACTACCATGTTCAGCTAATGTTTTGTATTTTTAGTAGAGACAGGGTTTCACTGTGTTAGCCAGGATGGTCTTGATCTCCTGACCTCCTGATGTGGCCAACTCGGCCTCCCAAAGTGCTGGAATTATAGGCATGAGCCACTGCTCCCTACTGAGGCCTGCACGTTTTAAATCACAGGCCAACCTTTTCATGTATTTCTGTGGGAGATGAAAACCCTAAGGGCAGTAGTGGAAAAGCTCAGACCTCCCCTCATGGCTTCCAAACCGAGCCCTGTTTCATCACGGGGAGCCTCTTCTGTTTTGAGCAGAACCGGCTGGAAGCAGCCTGTGGATTCTGGGGAAGCCTCGGGGTGAATGTGTGTCCATTTGGTCTCTTCCAGGAAGACAGCGACCCCCCCGATCAGCGAGAGCCTCAGCATAGAGAACACGCTGTGGGCTGGCACCGTGGTTGCATCAGGTGAGGAATGTGGTAGCAATTTGAAAAGGAAAGAAAATCCTTTTGTAATTAGAATAATCATCTGTCAGTTGGAAAAATTAGTGCTCGGTCAAATGGCATTTTCCACTTGTTCCGCCACCTCCAGGGAATTAAACTGACATCTAATTGCAGCTCGGACACTTAGAGAGGCCTGGGGAGAAGCTGGCGTGGCCTGTGGACCTTTCTGCAGCATCCACTCTGGGAATAGCTCTAATTGCCATGCAGATTGACATTCTAATCTGTACCAGAGGTGGAGATAGCCTGGACATTCTGAATGGCTGGAGGTTTTGTTCATGGGGGATGTGGCGCTAGGACTGTGGCATCGGGCTCCCAGCTCATAGGAAAGGCATGGGCTTGAGCTGGAGTGCCTGTGTTTAAACACCAAGAGGAAGTGGACATTGGTGCCTTTCTTTTTATTTTTTGCTTTTCTTTTCTTTCTATTTTTGAGACAAGGTCTTACTCTGTCACCTAGGCTGGAGTACAGTGGCATGATCTTGGCTCACTGTAACCTCTGCCCCTGAACCCTGGGTTCAAGCAATTCTTGTGCCTCAGCCTGCCGAGTAGCTGGGACTACAGGCTGCACCACAATGCCTGGCTAATTTTTGTATTTTTTTTTTTTTGAGACAGTCTCGCTTTTTCACCCAAGCTAGAGTGCAATGGCACGATACCGGTTCACTGAAACCTCTGCCTCTCAGGTTCAAGTAATTCTTTTTGCCTCAGTTTTCCAAGTAGCTGGGACTATAGGCATGCGCTACCATGCCTGGCTAATTTTTGTATTTTTAGTAGAGACGCGGTTTCACCATGTTGGCCTGGCTGGTCTTGAACTCCTGACCTTGTGATCCACCCGCCTCTGCCTCCCAAAGTGCTGGGATTAGGCATGAGGCACCGCACTTGGCCCTCCCTTGAGGTTTTTTTGCCACATTTCATTTCCACTTCCTGCCTTTATTTTCATCAAATTTTGGAATGTCTCTCAGTCCCTCGATGACTAAAGAGTGAGAAATTCTGTACAGTCATGCCTGGGCGACGCCTAAGCATAGCCACCCAGGGCACGCAGCGTGCAGACGTTCACATTCTGCCCCTCCTCACCACTTACCACCCACATCGCCTGAACCAATTTTTTTCTTTCAAGTCATTTATTAACAAATAATTAATTACCACTTTGATAATTTGACTGAAAAATAAGTATCTCATTTAGTTTGAATTTCCTAGATTACCTGGCAGGTGGTCATCTTTGAATCTTTCTGTTTTGTTTCTTTGTAAATTACTTGCTGGCTTTTTATTTATTTTTTTAAAGACAGTCTCTGTTCCCTGGGCTGGAGTGCAATGGTACTATCTCAGCTCACTTCGGTGGCTCACGCCTGTAATCCCAGCACTTGGGGAGGCTGAGGCGGGTGGATCACCTGAGATCAGGAGTTAGAGACCAGCCTGGCCAACATGGTGAAACCCTGTCTCTACGAAAAATATAAAAAATTAGCCAAGCATGATGACATCTGCCTGTAATCCCAGCTACTCAGGAGGCTGAGGCGGGAGACTCACTCGAACCTGGGAAGTAGAGGTTGCAGTGAGCCAAGATTGTGCCATTGCACTCCATTCCAACCTGGACCACAAGACTGAAACTCTGTCTCAAAAAAAAAAAAAGAATGATACAATGAAAAGCAACACACTTTAGAATGGGTGCTGTGAGTGTCAAATGCTTGTGTCTTTGGGTGGAATAGAGAGGCGCTGAAGGAGACGAGAGCACGCTGAGGTTGAAGTTGTCATGTCCCGTTGCATCTGGCATAGGCAGGGCTGGAAATTCACGACTGCCTGTGGTGTGCCTGCCTCCTTACTAGACAGCTGTGTGACTAAGATGTACTTCATTTCTTGTGGAGAATCCAGCATTTCTTCTTTCCTAAACCTTTTGTGGAAGGATAGTACAGACACAGAAAATCCTAAACACAGTGCTCGGTGGATTTATTTTTTTTCTTCCCAACTTATTTTCGGTTCAGGGGGTACATGTGCAGGTTTTTTTTTTTGTTGCCAGGCTGGAGTACAGTGGTCTGATCTCAGCTCACTGTAACCTCTGCTTTCCAGGTTCTAGCGATTCTCCTACCTCAGCCGTCTGAGTAGTTGGGATTACAGGCATGTGCCACCGTATCACCATGACCTCAGCCAAGCAGTGCTGAGTTACGGGTGCATTTTTTATATATTTTTTGTAGTTTTAGTAGAGACAGTGTTTCTCCATGTTGGTCAGGCTGGTCTCAAACTCCTGACCTCAGGTGATCTGTCCATCTTGGCCTCCAAAAGTGCTGGGATTACAGACGTGAGCCACCATGCCTGGCCTGCAGGTTTGTTACACGGGTAACTTGCATGTTGTGGGGGTTTGGTGTCCAGATGATATCGTCACCCAGGTAGAAAGCATAGTACTCTATAGGTAGTGTTTTCTGATCCTCACCCTCTTTCCACCCTGTGCTTGATGGATTTTAACACAGGGAACACATTGGTGTGACTAACACCCAGATCATGAAACAGGATATTATCAGCACCCCAAGAAGAAGCTCCCCTCCTCTCCCTTCTAGTTCCCCCACACCTGCCCAAGGGTAATCACCACTAAAATGCTAGCATTTCAGTAATAAAATGCATTTTCCCATGCCTGTTTGTTTTTCCTGATGAGTTTCCTCTCTCTTTCCTTCCTCCTTTCCATGCAGCAAGAGCACACCTGTTCTGTGCTGAGCTCCATTGCTGGGCCCAGTGGCTGTGGCAGTGCCTTAGGAGACAGATGTGTGTGCCCACACCACGGGACTTAGAGTTTATTAGAAGTTTAGGATGGATGCGGGGCATGGTGGCTCACGTCTGTAATCCCAGCACTTTGGGAGGCTGAGGCGGGTGGATCACCTGAGGTCGGGAGTTTGAGACTAGCCTGACCAACATGGTGAAATGCCATGTCTACTGAAAATACAAAAATTAGCTGGGTGTGGTGGCAGGCGTCTGTATTCCCAGCTACTTCAGAGGCTGAGGCAGGAAAATCGCTTGAACCTGGGAGGTGGAGGTTGCAGTGAGCCGAAATTGTACCACTGCACTCCAGCCTGGGTGACAGAGCGAGACTCTGCCTCATAAATAAATAAATAAACAAACAAACGAAGTTTAGGATGGGTTATAGAGGAAATGGGAGAGAGATTTATGTATTTCCTCTGAAACCAGTAAAAAGGAAAACAATTTAGCTGAAAATGTAGAGAAATATGAGGTGGAAGGAGTGATATTGGAAGGGCCTGTCAGTCTTAATCTCAGACATGAACAATACTAATTAAGTCTTCACTTAATCAGTTACTTTTTTTTTTGTGAGGCAGAGTTTTGCTTGTCATCCAGGCTGGAGTGCAGTGGTGCAATCTCGGCTGACTGCAGCCTCCGCCCCCTGTGTTCAAGTGATTCTCTTGCCTCAGCCTCCCTAGTAGCTGGGATTATAGCCACCCGCTACTACGCCCAGCTAATTTTTGTATTTTTAGTAGAGACGGGTTTCACCATTTTCGTCAGGCTGATCTTGAACTCCTGACCTCTGATGATCCGCCTGCCTTGGCCTCCCAAAGTGCTGAGATTACAGTGGCATGAGCCACTGTGCCCTGCCCACAGTTCCTTTTTTTTTTTTTTTTTTTTTTTTTTAAAGAATCAGTTACTTTTAATTTACGAAGTTCTTTTCTGCCATTCTCTTGATTTGGTCTCATAACATTCCATGAGGATATTTAATGGAACGAGGCACTGAGTCTCAAAGAGGTTAAGCAACTTGTCCAAGGCCACACCTTGGAGAGGTCATCTGGGAGGAGGAGAGTGGAAGGCAAACTGGTGTCTTGAAGATGAAAGATACTTTAGACAGGCGTGGGAGAAGCCTTGTGGAGGTGAAGATACATTTTCCCTTGTGTGAATTCCTCTCTGTGTGCTGGGTAATGTGGTGGGGGGGAGAGAGCACAGGAGTGATGAGATTGCCTATGCTGCCCTTAGTGGGTGTATGATTTGGAGTTAGTATGAGCAGCTGGGCATTTCCTTAATTGGCCTCAGTTTCCCCTGCATCTCACTGAGTATAGACATCTAATTGCTCTTCTGTATCTAATGTAATCTAATGTAAACGTGGAGTTCAACACAAGCCATTTCCTTCTAGTTCTCAACACAAGGAACAGCCAGCAAGAGTCATCTTCATTGTGTGAGATTTTGCTTCTGTGTTCCCTTTAGGATGTAACTCCTGCCTCTTGGGTACAGATAACAGGTAACAGGTCTGCTGTTACCTGTTAGAAGTTAAAAAAAAAAAAAAAAAAAAAAAATGAAAGCTTTCCAAGCAGTGCTGAGGTCCGGGTGCATCAGCCGGCATCAATCTGTAGAAGATGTGGTTGCGATGGGAACCCAGGCAGGGCTGCAAGGCTGCAAGGCAGCACCAGCGTGATGGATACTGGAAGGGATAGAGGAGGACCAGGGGCTTGCTAGAGAAGGTGGCCTGGATGTTACAGACCCCAGGTGCTGTAACCCAGTTCTTCTCAAACTTTTTATGGAGAGGGACCAGTTTGTTGGGTTTTCACCCTGATGTGTTTAAGAGTGGTTTATGGTCTTGCCTTTGTGTGTGAGTAATAGGCAGCCACACTATGTGCAGTTTGCCACAGCAGTTTTTTTTGAGACAGGATCTCACTCTGTTGCTCAGGCTGGAGTGCTGTGGCATGATCTCAGCTCACTGCAACCTCTGCCTTCTGAATTCAAGCTATTCTCTTGCCTCAGCTTCTTAAGTAGCTGGGATTACAGGCATGTGCCACCACACCTGGCTAAGTTTTGTGTTTTTAGTGGAGGCGGGATTTTACCATGTTGGCCAGGCTGGTCTCGAACTCCTGACCTCAAGTGATCCACCTGCCTCGGCCTCCCAAAGTCCTGGGATTACAGGCGTGAGCCACCTTGCCCGGCACACAACAGTTTGATAGTGCCTGTATGGTCTCTACCCCATTAGATGAGACTGCTCCTCTGATCACAGGCTCAAATGTTGCAGCAATATCTCATTGCTCTAAAAGTTTCCAAATGCTGACTCTCGGGTTGTTCAGGATTTATTTTGTTGTGTATGAGGAACAAAGGGGTCACAGAGTAGCCCTGACCCCCAGCAGCACCACACTGTTCCAGAGAGTCAGTTAGAACTCGGTGAAATGCCTGACCATGACCTCCTGGCCTTTTGGAGAAACCAGATGGGCACTGGCTGGGAGAATGAGAAGGGCTGTGTGGTTGCCTGGACTGTGGGCTGGGGAGGGTGGGAGTGAAGAGGACCTTGAGAGCAAGGAGGAGCTGCAGTGGTGAAAGCAGGGGAAGGAGAGGATCAGAGGCCTGGGGGTGGAGACGTTCGGGTCAACAGTTACAAATTGGGCAGGAGACTTAAAGGAGTGGAGAGTGGTGGACGGGGACCATGGTGAGCTGAGAGCACATACCTTAAGAGGTGGCTGTTCCTCGGCATTCACTGAGTATAGCATGAGGAACATGGACTCTGTCATCAGATCTTCCACTCTTCCAGAAAAAACCAGAGATCTCTTTTTTTGTTTTAACTTTTTTTTTTTCGAGACAGAGTCTCACTCTGTCGCCCAGGCTGGAGTGCAGCAGCGTGATCTCGGTGCATTGCAACCTCCACTTCCCTGGTTCAAGTGATTCTCCTGGTTCAAGTGATTCTCCTGCCTCAGCCTCCCAAGTAGCTGGGATTATAGGCACACGCCACCACACCTGGCTAATTTTAGTATTTTTAGTAGAGACAGGGTTTCACCATGGTAGCCAGGCTGGTCTCAAGCTCCTGATCTCAGGCGATCCACCCTTCTCGCCTCCCAAACTGCTGGGATTACACATGTGAGCCACCATGCCTGGCCTTATTATTATTATTACTATTTTGAATAGGCGAGCTCCTGAATTTAAAAGTGGCCAGTTACTCAGAACCTTGAAAGCACAGTGCAGACCAAGCTGATGCGCATCCGTGGCTGTGGTGTGTGCGTCCTCTCTGGGTGGTGGGCTCGCTGAGGATGAGGCTGGGGTTTGGATCTTGTGGAGGCAGAGCCTGTGTCCTGAGCACAAGAGGGCGTGGGATGGGAAAGGCCATTTTTGGCAGCGATTGATGGCATCATGGTTGGCCAGGTCAGCTGTGGGGGATACTCCCTTTGGGGTCCCCCTTGTTACTAGGGCCCTCTCTCACCCTGAGCTCTGGGATTGAGGCTGAGCTGCATCTGCATAGGAGTAGATGAAGCAGTCGTGCGGTCATGCCAAGCTCAGCCTGGGCTTGGCTCCCACTGTCCAGCCATCTGCTGTGACGGCAGGGGCCCGAAGGGAGGGGCTGCCTGTGTTCACAGGAGCCTGCCATCTGCTGAGAAGCTACCGCAACTCTCCCTGGCCTGCCATCTGCTGGGAGCCTCCCTGGAAGGAGAACATTGTTTGCCTGGTGGAGTATGTTAGTCTTCACACTCACACTGGAGGGTTGTCAGTGCCTCCTCTCAGGGCGCTTTGTCCAAGATGTGGTCCCAGCGCTGCATTTGGGGGTGGGCTCTTTACCACAGATGCACTTCAGCCTCTTTGGATTTTTCTATCTCCTGACAGTGGTGTTCCTGAGAGTGAGGTGGGAGAGAGGACAGAGAGGGAGGTGTTTTCTTTTTCCAGCAGAGACCAAATTGCTTGTATTCCTGGGATCTTCCCTGAGAGCTTGGCAGGGCTGGCCTCCTTCGTGTTCCAAGTTTCAGTTCAGATGTCATGAACGGAGACAGTGCAAACCGCACGCCCCGCCCCACTTCCCTGCTTCCCCTCCTGTCTGTTTCTCTGGTTGGCTTGACTTTCAGCCTAACCCCACTCACTCTCTGTCACGGCGAGTTTCTTGGTTTCCTTCTTTACTCTCTGTCTTTCCTGCCATGTTAATTTTCTTGGCACACACTGAGAAGGGGAGACAGGTGAAATTTTGACGGATATTGCCAAATTTCTGTCCAAAATAGATCACGCCCGTGTGCATGTCAGCTGCCAGTGTGTATGACAGGATTTGCTTCCCCGCTCTTGGCTAACCCTGGTTGTTCTCAGTTTTTTGAATTTTTGCCTATTTGGGATAAAAATGGTTTATTTTGCATTTTTTGATTATTACTAGATTGAACATTTTCCTGTTGTTCACTGGACATTTTTATTTCTTCAGTAAATTGTTGACTTTCGAAGGATTGATGCCTTTTCTTTCTTTCTTTTTTTTTCTTGAGACATAGTCTCGCTCTGTCTTCCCGGCTGGAGTGCAGTGGTGCTATCTCAGCTCATTGCAACCTCTGGCTCCCAGGTTCAAGCAATTCTTCTGCCTCAGCCTCCCAAGTAGCTGGAATTACACGTGTGTGCCACCAAGCCCAGATAATTTTTGTATTTTTAGTAGAGATGGGGTTTCACCATCTTGGCCAGGCTGGTCTTGAGCTCCTGACCTCATGATCCGCCTGCCTCAGCCTCCCAAAGTGCTGGGATTTCAGGCATGAGCCATTGCACCTGGCCCAATGCCTTTTCTTATTGTGCCTGGGGGATAGAAAGGGTGGGGGAGTTCTCAGGAAAGAACTGTCATTGGGACAGACATCCCCCAAATGGGCAAGTTAGGCTAAAAAGAATCAGGCTTAGCAGGAGGAATGTGCTCTAAAAAGAAGCCTCTGTTTCTGAGTTTCCATAATAGTTTATGAAGGTAGGAATGTTCCGGGCACCTCTGGAAGCCTCTACGGCCGGGACACAAAGGGCAAGCCACCCCCTTCCCCACTCTCCTTCCATTAGAAGCCTCTGGGCCCTGTAGACCAGCATTCACCAAGTTTCTTCTTCACTTTCGACGAGGTAGCCACTAGCTCATGTGGCTAGGGAGGATGGGGACTGTATTTAACGGATTTGAATTTAAACTTAGAGTTTTCAGTGTTTAGTGGTTGTTCTGTTGGTCAGCATAGCCACGGGTCATTGGTTTGGCCCTAATATAAAACCTCTGATGTTCTCATGGAATGGCTGTTGGGTTTAGAACATGCTTTATTGGCCAAGGGAGGTGGCTCATGCCTGTAATCCTAGCACTTTGGGAGGCCAAGGTGGGAGGATCACATGAACTCAGGAATTCAAGAGCAGCCTGGGCAACATAGTGAGACCTCATTTCTACAAAAAACACAAAAATTAGCTGAGCACGATGGTATGCACCTGTGGTCCTAGCTATTCGGGAGGCTGAGATGGGAGGATTGCTTGAGCTCAGGTGCTGAGGCTGCAGTGAGTTATTGATATGATTGTGTCACAATACTCTAGCCTGGGCAACAGAGTGGGACAGTTTCTCAAATAAATAAATAAATAAATAAATGAAAAATGAGGCTGGGCATGGTGGCTAATGCCTATAATCACTTGAAGTCAGGAGTTCAAGACCAGCCTGGCAACATGGTTAAACCCCATCTCTACTAAAAATACAAAAATTGAGGCTGCGTGCGGTGTCTCATGCTTATAATCCCAGCACTTTGGGAGGCCAAGGTGGCTGGATCACCTGAGGTCAGGAGATCAGGTCAGGAGTTCAAGACCAGCCTGGCTAACATGATGAAACCTTGTCTTTACTAAAAATACAAAAATTAGCTGGGTGTGGTGGCAGGTGCCTGTAATCCCAGCTACTTGGGAGGCTGAGGCAGGAGAATTGCTTGAACCCAGGAGACAGAGGTTGCAGTGATCTAAGACTGTGCCATTGCACTCCAGCGTGGACAAGAGTGTAACTGTCTAAAAAGAAAAACAAAAAAAACCCAAAAAATTAGCTGTGCATGGTGGTGCGTGCCTGTAATTCCAGCTATTGTGGAGGCTGAGACAGGAGAATCTTGTGAACCTGGGAGGCTTGCAGAGAGCTCAGGTTTCGCCACTGCACTCCAGACTCCAGCCTGGGCAACAGAGCGAGACTTCGTCTCAAAAAAAGAAAAGAAAAGAAAAAAAATAACCCAGTCTCTCAAGAGGCTCAGACTTGTCTGTTTGCAAGCCTGCCTGTCTGTATTAATATTTCTTTGGGTTTTGTTTTTTTCTTTTTAGGTACAGTTGTGGGTGTCGTTCTTTACACTGGCAGAGAACTCCGGAGTGTCATGAATACCTCAAATCCTCGAAGTAAGGTGTGTACGAGGTCATGAGTGCATTGACTGGCTGTATGCTGGTTGGTGCCATGGGTGAATAACCAGATCTTAAAGTAGGAACACCTAAGAGTGCTATTTGTACAGACATACTATCTTTTTATGCATATGTGTATGTGTGAGTATATGCACATAAATACATATACATATGCATATATAAGAGTACATAAACATGTAGTCATGTGTTTATGGATATATGACATTTTTTTTCCTTTTTTTTTGAGACAGGGTCTCACTCTGTCACCCATGCAGGAATACAGTGGCTCAATTTTGGCCCACTACAACCTCTGCCTCCTGGGCTCAATTGATCCTCCCACCTCCACACCCCAAGTAGCTGGGATTACAGGCATGTACCACCAAGCCTGGCTAATTTTTGTATTTTTAATAGAGATGGGTTTTCAACATGTTGGGCAGGCTGGTCTTGAACTCTGGACCTCAAGTGATCCTCCCGCCTCAGCCTCCCAAAGTGCTGGGATTATAGGCGTGTTCCACAGTGCCGGCATTTTTTGTGCTTTCAGGTTAAACTACGGAGCAGGTACCATTTGCATGTCTTGTGTTTCATCCTTGACATGCATCATTTCATCCTTATAACAGCCTTGTGAGTGCTGTGTTTCCTTTTATCCATGAGAAACGGCTTCAGGAAGCACCTTGCCCTGTTCAGGCTAAACAGTGAGGACGGGGCAGGCTCCTGTGATTCAAACCATGACCCCCCCGTCCCAGCCTACCCCTCCTCCAATTTCTAAGAGTCACAACATCACAGAATAATGTCTTTTGTCAATAACAGGAAGGAATACTGTGTCCCCCACGCTTCAGTCTTAGTCACGCCACCATTACATGTTATGGCCCTCATTACAACTATAAAATCATTTGTTTAATATTTCAACCTTATCCTGGGACATATTTCTGTGAAGTTATAGATATGATATGCTAGTTACTCTTTTAAAGTCTATACATGAAAGTAAATGTATCATTATTAAAATAATAATATCTAGGGCCGGGCGCGGTACCTCACGCCTGTAATCCCAGCACTTTGGGAGGCCGAGGCAGGTGGATTGCTTGAGACCTGGAGTTCAAGACCAGCCTAGCCAACGTGGTGAAACCCATCTCTACTAAATACACAAAAATTAGCCAGGTGTGGTTGTGGGTGCCATAATCCCAGCTAATTGGGAGGCTGAGGTAGGAGAATCGCTTGAACCCAGGAGGTGGAGGTTGTACAGAGCCAGGATCGCACTACTGCACTCCAGCCTGGGCAACAACATGAGACTCTGTCTCAAAAAAATAAATAAAAAATAAAATAAAATAATAATGTCCATTAATGCAGCACCTAAAAATCAGGTGACACCACTGGGATCTGCCTCAGACTTTCAGGCACTATCTGAAAAGTAGTGGTGTTGGGTGCAGTGTTTAGAGTTGAGGGTCTGAGTCACTTCACAAGGCTAAGGCCACTGTGTGGGGTGGCAGAGGCTGTGCCATGCAGCCGTAACTTACTTCCGTATTTCCAAGTGTAAACGTTGTTTTGAATTTTCAGAGTTCTTTGAGTTCCCTTGGTTGCTTGTTATGAACTCCAGCCCATGGAAGCACAGTGTTCTCAGACCACAGATCTGCGAATCGATGGAGCCCCCTGTCCTCCCTGGGGTAGAGGTGTCTGCGGGGGAAGGACCTCTTCTCCTGCAGGCTGTGAGTTGCACCAGCTAATCTCAAGCCCGGTTTGTGCTTCGTCCCACAGATCGGCCTGTTCGACCTGGAAGTGAACTGCCTTACCAAGATCCTCTTTGGTGCCCTGGTGGTGGTCTCACTGGTCATGGTTGCCCTTCAGCACTTTGCAGGTCGTTGGTACCTACAGATAATCCGCTTCCTCCTCTTGTTTTCCAACATCATCCCCATTAGGTAAGCAGGCAATGAGCTAAAGTTTGGCTGTTGGGAAGTTTTCTTTGATCATTCAAAGATGATGGTTCTGTGGCTTTTATTATTATTTTTTGAGACGAAGTTTTGCTCTTGTCGCCCAGGCTGGAGTGCAGTGGCACTATCTTGGCTCACTGCAACCTCCACCTCCCGGGTTCAAGTGATTCTCCTGCCTCAGCCTCCCGCGTAGTGGGGACTACAAGCATGTGTCACCCCATCCAGCTAATTTTTGTATTTTTAGTAAGATGGGGTTTCACCATGTTGGCCAGGCTGGTCTCAAACTCCTGACCTCAGGTGATCTGCCTGCCTTGGCCTTCCAAAGGGCTGGAATTACAGGCGTGAGCTATTATGCCTGGCCAGCTTTTAGAAGGAGGGTATGTCTTTGTAAAGTGGGGACCAAGAGCAATCAGAGTCAGGAGTGTGAACCACACTGAGGCTATAGCAGTGGAAAATTGCGTTCTTCCAGTCCACAAGCCATCCTTTCCTGAATCAGGGATCTTTCCTTACCTTGACCAGTCTATGCTAGGGATGCCACTTAGAGCTCTTGTCATCAGCGAACTCTGCAAGGTTGATATTGGCTATTGGGACTGCTGCGTTGAGAAGGATTCTGAGCTTGTGCCTGGGCTCAAAGGGAAATGGTGTTATGATTGACAGCAGTATCTGCTGGAGATGTGCATTGGAAGCTTGGTGGCACATGCCAATCATTTGCCTACCTGATTTGGAGGTTGAATAAATGGTTATTTATTTATTTATTTGAGATGGAGTTTCACTCTTGTTGCCAGGCTGGAGTGCAATGGCCCGATCTTGGCTCACCGAAACCTCTGTCTCCTGCCTCAACCTCCTGAGTAGCTGGGATTATAGGTGCCCACCACCACTCCAAGCTAATTTTTGTATTTTTGGCAGATACTGGGTTTCTCCATGGTTGGTCAGGCTGGTCTTAAACTCCTGACCCCAGGTGATCTGCCTTCTTCGACCTCCCAAAGTGCTGGAATTACAGGAGTGAGCCACTGCACCCGGCCTGTTTGTTTATTTTTGAGATGGAGTCTTGCTTTTTTGGTCAAGCTGGAGTGCAGTGGTGTGATCTTGGCTCACTGCAGCCTCCACCTCCTGGGTTCAAGCGATTTTCCTGCCTCAGCCTCCCAATTAGCTGGAATTACTAACCACCATGCCTGGCTGATTTTTTAATTTTTGGTAGAGACAGAGTTTCACCATGTTGGCCAGGCTGGTCTGGAACTCCGGATCTCAAGTGATCTACCTGCCTTGGCCTCCCAAAATCCTGGGATTATAGGCATGAACCACTGAGCATGGCCTGGTTTTTTAAAGTGATAGAAATAATAGAATTTCATAGTAGAAAAAAATGAAGACCCATATTAGCAAAGGAATAAAATAAAAATCACCTCTGCTCTCACTGCCAAGTGAGTATCATTGTTGATACTTTGGGATATATTTTTTTCTAGAGTGCTTTTGATTTTAGAAAAATGGGATTCTGGTCTCCAGAGAATCTGCCTTTCTAAAAACATTGGAGCAGTGTGTTTGAAATAACTTTTCACATCACATATATGTGTGTCCCGTCATATTTTAGATCTGCTCTGTGATAGAACTTTAACAATCCACTTTTTCCCATATTGTTCTATGTTTTCTACTTTCCCCCCATAATAATCAGTAAATACTAAACTATGTATCTTTTTTCCTGAAACTTTCAGTGTTTATAGTCTTTCTTATAGGCTAGGTGCGGTGGCTCATGCTTATAATTTCAGCACTTGGGGAGGCTGAGGTGGGCGAATCACCTGAGGTCGGGAGTTCGAGACCAGCCTAACCAACATGGAGAAACCCCATCTCTACTAAAAATACAAAATTATCCTGGTGTGGTGGTGGGTGCCTGTAATCCCAGCTACTCAGGAGGATGAGGCAAGAGAATTGCTTGAACCCGGGATGGGGAGGTTGCAGTGAGCTGAGATCGTGCCACTGCACTTCAGCCTGGGCAACAAGAGCAAAATTCCATCTCAAACAAACAAGCAAAATAATCTCTCTTATACTTAATATAATATTTTGTCTTGCTATTTTTTGCATATTTAGATCATCTTGGTGAGAATTTGTCTTTTTCTGGGGACAGAGATTGTGGTTTTGGGTACAACACTGTGACAGGGACCAGGTGATAGTGCCCTAGTCAGTATGCTCCTGATGGTGGATTCAGAGAACCATTATGTCCACTTTACTGACTTTACTGCTAGCAAAACAAGTATTCATGTTGTGATCTGAGTGACATGGTTACCTTCAAAGTTCTGTCTGTAACATGATTGAAAATTAGTGAATCGACTCTCCATATGGCCCAGGGCTAGCCAGTAAAATGGCAAGCAATTTGATTAGTTTATATGATGATGAATTAATTTGAAGACTTCTGTTTATTTTTTTTTAATAAAATTAAATTTCAAAATGAATATGATACATACAATGGAATACACTGTAGCCTTAAAGAGGAAGGAAATTCGGATTGAGCACGGTGGCTCATGCCGGTAATCCCAGCACTTCAGGAGCCCAAGGTGGGCGCATCACCTGAGTTGGGAGTTTAAGACCAGCCTGAGCAACATGGAGAAACTCTGTCTCTACTAAAAATACAAAATTAGCCAGGCGTGGTGGCGTATGCATGTAATCCCAGCTACTCAGGAAGCTGAGGCAGGAGAATCACTTGAACCTGGGAGGTGGAGGTTGCGGTAAGCCAAGATTGTGCCATTGCACTCCAGCCTGGGCAACAAGAGTGAAACTCTTGTCTCAAAAAAAAAGGAAGGAAATTCTAATGCATCTTATGATGTGGGCGAACCTTGAGAATGTTATGCTAAGCAAGGTAAGCCTCCCAAAAGCCAGAAAAAGTGTATGATTCAACTTGTATGGAGCATCTAAGGTAGTTAAATTCCAGCCAGATGTGGTGGCTAATGCCTGTAATCCCAGCACTTTGAAAGGCTGAGGTGGGTGGATTGCTTGAGCCTAGGAGTCTGAGACCAGTCTGGGGCCTGGGTAACATGGCAAACCTCATCTCTACTAAAAACAAAAAATTAGCTGGGTGTGGTGGCGCATGCCTGTAATCCCAACTACTCTGGAGGCTGAGGCACAAGAATCGCTTGAACCTGGGAGGCAAAGGCTGTGGTGAGCCCAGATAGCGTCTCTGCACTCCAGCCTGGGCAACAGAGTGAGACTGCATCTCAAAAAAAAAAAAAAAAAAAAAAAATTTATCAAATTCACAGAAACATAAGTAGAATGCTCGTTGCCAAGGGCTGCTGGGATTAGGGTTGATGGGGAATGGGGTGTTCTTGTTGAATGAGTGTGGAATTTCAGTTTGGGAAGGTGAAAGAATTCTGGAGATGCATGACGCTGATGGCTGATAGCAATGTGACTATGCTCAATGCTATAGAATGGTAAATTTCCTGTTATATATATTTTACCACAATTAGAAAAAGTGAATATAGCATCAAAAATATATTAGCTTCAGGGATCAGTAATTTTTCTAAAAGGTAAGATTGAGACAGCTACCCTTTCTGTATTTTAAGTGACTTCAGTGTATAACATGAGTTTCATGACAGTAATGGATTTGTTCAGTGTGTGTGACTTGTCACTGGTGCTGGCTCTTGTCGAATCTGTGGCTGCAGCTCCGGCAGTGTGCTTCTGTAGGGGGTGAGTCTGGATGCCGTGGCACAAATGTGTTTAGAGTCCATGTGTTTATAAAGATAGGAGGAGCCTTACCTCTGTCTTGTTAACCTGTTTGCTCTGGTTTTGTAACTAGTTTGCGAGTGAACCTGGACATGGGCAAGATCGTGTACAGCTGGGTGATTCGAAGGGACTCAAAAGTCCCTGGGACTGTGGTTCGCTCCAGCACTATCCCCGAGCAGCTGGGCAGGATCTCGTACTTACTCACAGACAAGACAGGTGAGCTGCTTTCTGGGCCCTGCATGGGATACCTGGTGAGAGAAGGGGCCTGAGGGCTTTAGCTGAAATTCGAGCTCTCTCTCTGGACATATGAGAGGTAGGTGTTGCTGCTGTTTTAGTCTCTTCATCCTTTGATGAAGATTAAGTATTTGAAGATGACAGTAACAGCAGCAAAGCCTTACAGAGGGTGAATTATGTGCAGAGTACAGTCCTGGGGAATTTTTTTTTCTTTTTCATTTTTTTTTTGAGATGGAGTCTCATTCTTGTTGCCCACGCTGGAGTGCAATGGTGCCATATTGGCTCACTGCAACTTCTGCCTCCCAGGTTCAAGTGATTCTTCTGCCTCAGCCTCCCAAGTAGCTGGGATTAAAGGCATGTGCCACCACACCTAGCTAATTTTTGTATTTTTAGTAGAGATGGGGTTTCGCCATGTTGCTCAGGCTGGTCTCAAACTCCCAATTTCAGGTGATCCTCCCGCCTCGGTCTCCCAAAGTGCTGAATTTATGAATCCAGCCACCACTCCTGGCTAGTCCTGGGGAGTTTCTGTGCAGGCACTCATTCAGTCCTCATCCAAACCTTGAGAGTTAGATAGTGTTTCTGTCTCCCTTCTGCAGATGAGGAAATGTGGCCCAGAGAGGGTAAGTGACTTGTCATGGGCACATAGTAGCCAAAGCCAGCTTTAACTCAGGTACCCAGGCCTGATCTCAGATCGTGCCCTGATACTGCTATACAACTGAATGCTTGTCAAGGCACTAGGCTATCAAAGTGGTGAAGAGCAAGGATTGCGGGTGGGAAGATCTGGTTTAAGCCTCATCTCTACCATTTAATGTCCATGGGTTAGAAGAGAAGCCAATGCAGAGATCCTGGGCGGCTCACCAAATCAGAGAAAAATGAAGTTTCTGGGAGGAGAGCAACCAGGAAATTTCTGGACAAGTCACATCGGGACCCTCTGGGTGGTCTCTGTAGGGCTCTGCCATTGGGGATGTATCTCTCTGCTCAAGGGTCAGAATCCTTCAAGATAGAATCTGATTGCTCTAGTGTATGTCATTTGTCACCTTCTTGGCCAATGGAATGGGCCAGGCCCCCGATTGATGGTCCTCTTGGGCCACCTTAGGGAATGGGCATGGATGGTTAATTTCCCCTAGGAAACCCAGGATGCCATTTTCAAAAGGGGAATGGTATTCTAGGCAGGAAACATGCTGCAGATGTTTACCCCAGCAGGGAACAGTACTGACTGCAGTGTGTGGCATACAGCAGACTCTCCAAAGATGGCGGCTGTCATTACTGCTAAAAATAACAAACTGGCCGGGCGTGGTGGCTTAGGCCTGTAATCCCAGCACTTTGGGAAGCTGAGCCAGGTGGATTACGAGGTCAGGAGATTGAGACCATCCTCGCCAAGGTGGTGAAACCCTGTCTCTACCAAAAATACAAAAATTATCTAGGCGTGGTGGCTTGTGCCTGTAATCCCAGCTACTCGGGAGGCTAAGGCAGAATTGCTTGAACCTAGGAGTCATAGGTTGCAGTGAGCCAAGATTGCATCACTGCACTCCAGCCTGGCGACAGAGCTAGACTTTGTTTCAAAAGAAAATAAATAAATAAAAAATATAATAATAATAACAAACATCCTGAGAGAAAGGCTGGCCACTCACTTGTCTTGCGTTTTAGGCACTCTGACCCAGAATGAGATGGTTTTCAAACGGCTTCATCTCGGAACGGTAGCCTACGGCCTCGACTCAATGGACGAAGTACAAAGCCACATCTTCAGCATTTACACCCAGGTAAAGCCTTTTGTTTCAATACCTCAAATAATTCCTTGACTTTTTTTTATAGCATATTGAGATATAATTCACAATACCATACATTCACCCATTTCAAGAGTATAATTGGTTGTGTTTTTTAAAGCATATTCAGATTTGAGCAACTATCACTGCAATAGATTTTATGTTCACTCCAAAAAGAAACCCTGTACGCTTCAGCAGTCTCTCCCCAAGTCCCCCCAATACCTCCTTATTTATTTACTTTTTTAAGCTAAGTTTTGTTCTTGTTGCCCAGGCTAGAGAGCAGTGGCGTAATCTCGGCTCACCGCAACCTCTGCCTCCCAGGTTCAAGTGACCCTCCTGCCTCAGCCTCCCAAGTAGCTGGGATTACAGGCGCCCACCACCACACCAGGCTGATTTTGTATTTTTAGTAGAGATGGGGTTTCTCCACATCAGTCAGGCTGGTCTCGAACTCCCAACCTCAGGTGATCCACCCACCTTGGCATCCCAAAGTTCTGGGATTACAGGCGTGAGCCACCGCGCCCAGGCAGTACCTCCCTTCTAAACCTGTGACCCCCATGCTTCCTTTACATTTGGAATAAAATTGCAGTCGGGGTCCTACCCCATCTTCCTCATCTTCAGGGCTAATCTGCTCTACTGCGGTGCCAATGGACCTTAGGGAAAACCTATGAGAAAATTGTATGCCCAGTAAATAGTACCAGAAGGAATCTGCTGGCTGATTATACTTCTAGTTATGCACATGTTTATGTTTTCCTTCTCCCTGGCTATAAGCCAGAGCACCAATAATAAATGATCTGCTTGTGAAATAAACATGACACTATTGATTACCTTTAGTTTCTTAGCTACATTCAACTCAGCAATCACCAGGAAGAAATTCGTTTATCAGAGATGACTTGCAACGTATCTGTTCCTACCTTTATTTTTCCTACCAAGTTTTTCAAAGCCAGTCATTTTTCAGAGAAAGTACTACTGGCAAATATTTTAATATTCCTAAACTGTTAGACTGGTGGGTCCCCATCTTGACTGTGCATCAGAATTGCTGGTGATGTTTCAAAACAAAACAGAACAAAGACAAGAGACATTTATTTGGCCTTGGTACTCTGGAGATTCTGATTCATTAAGACTTAGGGCAGGGCCTGGCTCTGGGTTTTAAAAGGAAGACAGACACACCCCTTGCTAATTCTGAGGCCCGTCCAAGGCTGAGCCAGACCACATTAGACCAGCTCCATTTCAGCACTGGTCTGGAGATGGCAAGAGGATAAGGAGGTCATGTGTTGCTTAAATTTGTCAAGATAGAGAACATTTCCATAGTCAGAAGACCAGTAGTAATATGAATGAAGTGGCCGGGTGCAGTGGCTCATGCCTGTAATCCCAGGACTTTGGGAGGCCGAGGCAGATGGATCACAAGGTCAGGAGTTTGAGATCAGCCTGGCCAACCTGGCAAAACCCTGTCTCTACTAAAAAATACAAAAAATTGGCCGGGTGTGGTGGCAGGCACCTGTAATCCCAACTATGCGGGAGGGTGAGTGAGGCAGGAGAATCACTTGAACCCAGGAGGTGGAGGTTGCGGTGAGCTGAGATCATGCCATTGCACAGAGGGAGACTCCGTATCAAAAAAAAAAAATAAAAAAAAAAGAAAGAAATATCTCTGTATACAGGTTAAAGGCAGAATCCCTGAATACTTTATACAGTCACAATTGACATTTAATTTTCTGGAACATCTGCCAGTTGGCTGGATTTCCAGCCTGAGCAGGGACATCGTGACAGTGGGAGTGGGTGCTAAGTTAGAACAGCTGACTTGACACAGTTCTTGTCACCAGCTACAACTAGTGACAAAACCCTTAGTGCTCTCCCAGGGTCCATGGTGAGGCGTGACAGCTGTTCTCCAAATAGATCTGTGGACCTTTTCCAAAGATGTACTTTAGTACTATCTATTTTTTTGTTTTTGAGACGGAGTCTCGCTCTGTTGCCTAGGCTGGAGTGCAATGGCTCACTGCAACCTCCACCTCCCGGGTTCAAGCGATTCTCCTGCCTCAGCCTCCTGAGTAGCTGGGATTACAGGCATGCACTACCACACCCGGCTAATTTTTGTATTTTTAGTAGAGATGGAGTTTCACCACCTTGGCCAGGATATCTTGATTCCTCGACCTCATGGTCTGCCTGCCTCTGTCTCCCAAAGTGCTGGATTACAGGCGTGAGCCACCATGCCTGGCCTACTTTAGCACTGTTGAGAAATCACAGCTGGGCACAGTGGCTCGCGCCTGTAAACCCAGCACTTTGGGAGGCTGAAGCAAGTGGATCACAAGGTCAGGAGTTTGAGATCAGCCTGACCAAGATGGTGAAACCCCATCTCTATTAAAAATACAAAAATTAGCTGGGCATGGTGGTAGGCGTCTGTAATCCCAGCTACTCAGGAGACCGAGGCAAAAGAACTGCTTGAACCTGGGAGGTGGAGGTTGCAGTGAGCCAAGATCATGCCACTGCAGTCTAGCATGGATGACAGAGCAAGACTCCATCTCAAAAAAAAAAAAAAGAAAGAAATCACAAGGAGCTTCCCTGGACAGGGAGGATGAGCTGCACAGCCCGTGTCCTCTCTGTCTCTCTGACTGTCTTACTCAGTGTGGTAATTAGAGGTTGGCGTCTCTGGGGCTTGGTGCTAGACACTGTGGCTCCCTGGGGGGCCCCTCCCCCTGCTTCCATCGCCCCGTGGATGCTGGTGGCTCTGTCTCCATCTCCATCTCTAGGCCTGACCTGGAGCTTTGGATTATAAGATAGCCAAATGTTTGGCATTGCTGCATGTGGCCCGTAAGGATGCTATTACCCAGGACCTGTCCTGACTTTCTTCCCTCACCCCTCAAACCTGTTCTCTCCCAGCGCCCCTTGTCTCAGTGCATGCCACGCCCTCCATCCCAGTGGCTCCCGACACCCCCGTTGACAGCCTCTGCCCTCCTCCTGTGCCTGTCCCACCTGGTCACTAGATCACCCCTTCAGCCTATTGGTTTCTTTCTTCCTTTTCTTTCCTTCCTTTTTTTCATTTGTTTTTTCCCTTTTTTTAAGTAACAGAGTGTTACTCTGTCTCCCAGGTTTGAGTGCAGGGGTGTAAACACAGCTCACTGTAATCTCAAACTTCTGGGCTCAAGAAGTTTGAGAGTTATCCTCCCATCTCAGCCTCCCAAGTAGCTGGGACTACAAGTGTGTGTTGGGTATGCTCCGCCACGTCTGGCTAATTTTATTTATTTTTATTTGTTTATTCATTTTTTTGAGACAGTCTTGCTCTGTCACCCAGGCTGGAGTGCAGTGGCATGATCTCAGCTCACTACAACCTCTGCCTCCTGGGTTCAAGCCATTCTCCTGCCTCAGCCTCCCGAGAAGCTGGGATTACAGGTGCCTGCCACCACGCCTGGCTAATATTTTTTTGTATTTTGAGTAGAGATGGGGTTTCACCATGTTGACCAGACTGGTCTTGAACTCCTGACCTCGTGATTCCCCTGCCTCGGCCTCCCAAAGTGTTGCGATTACAGGCATGAGCCACCCTGCCTGGCCGTCTTTGGCCTTTTGTCTTCATCCCTTCTCGCTCAGCTGAGGTGACCCCCTCCCTCATCTGTCTCTCAGGATGGCCTGCACAGCAGCTTCCTGGCTTCCCTTCTCGCCTTCCTCTCAGGAGCATGGGAGCATCTCGGTACCATCAGTTCCGAGGCGAGGTCTGAGACTTCCAGTGGAATCTAGGCTTGGTCTTCATTCCCTTCCCTTCCTGAGGTTCAGCCATCCAGGCAGGGTGAACACATCTTAAATTAGACCCTTCCCTCGGAGCTACCAACTCTAAATGCCCACCAGGCTCCCTCTCGAGGGGGCTCACATACTGGATTGTCATGCATATTAGCACCCAGCTAGATGTCTGTGTAGCTCCCAGCCCCCTCTTAGCTGTGCTGACTGTTGATGATTATATTAGACAGCTTCATAGGTGGTGGTGTGTGTACATCCGGTGGGAGTTACACCCATGCCGTATTGCTGGTATTTTTAAGAGCTCCTGGTGTTTACGGAAGCTATCCCATCTTAGGATATTTGTGTATTTTAGCTTTTATGGTTCATTTTTGGCTTAGCACAGATAACATTCTTTGTAAAGTGTTAAAAGTCAGAAAACCATACTCCTTCCTTAGGGGAAGCTCATAAATTGATTTGCCCATCCTGGCCTGGAGTCTCACATAGCTGTGTGTTGTGAGGTTAGGTCTTCGTGAGGCTGGGGTGAGCTCAGAATTACAGTACAGACCCACCCATGGGAGGCTGTGTGCATCCTTCTCTCATGATGTCTAAAAATCCTGCCAGAGGCACAGGAACGTCTGTAATGGGACATATGAAAGCGTTTGCATGCTTTTTTAAAAAGAATTTTATTGAGGGATGATTTACATACCTGAACATTCAACCATGTTCAATACACAGTTGGTGACTTCTAGTGAATATACAGTTGTGCAGCCATCAGAACTGTCTAATCTTAGAATATGCCACCACCCAGAGAGATTCCCCTGCATCCATCGCAGTTACTCCTCCCCGCTTTAGAGCTTTGTAAGGGGTTCTTATAACAGTGGTTCTTTCTTCCTTTTTTTTTTTTTTTTTCTTAAGATACAGTCTCACTCTGTCATGTAGGCTGGAGTGTAGTGATGCGATCTTGGCTCGCTGCAAGCTCTGCTTCTTGGGTTCAAGCGATTCTCCTGCCTCAGTCTTCCAATAGCTGGGATTACATGTGCATGCCACCACACCCAGCTAATTTTTGTATTTTTAGTAGATACTGGGTTCTGCCATATTGGCCTGGCTGGTTTCGAACTCCTGACTTTGGGTGATCTGCCTGCCTTGGCTTCCCAAAGTACTGGGATTATAGGCGTGAGCCACTGCACCTGGCCCAATGTTTCTTCAAGTACGGCCTTTGGAACCCCTGGGCCAGATCACTTGGGCCAGAGTCAGAAGTACAAGGAGTTGTGCCCAGACCTGCAGTTTTGTTTTTTTTT